TTAACATAGAAATAACTTTATAAACTTATTTCTAGACATTAGAAGTTGTGTATAGTTTTGTTGGACATGGCGTTAGATTGTAAGGCATACCATGTACCTTTTATTACTAAATACATAAATATTTAAAATAATAATAGGTACTACGAAATTATCAAATAAGTATTTAATTTATTAAGTTAAAGAACTTCATTAGTTTTGATAGGGTAGGTACCTAATTATATTATAAACTAGCTTCTGCCCGCGACTTCGTACGCGCAATCCCGATATTTCCCGTTCCCGTTCTTGATTTTCGGTAAAAAGCAAAAAAAAAGAATTGGGTAAAAAGTATCCTATGACCGTCTCGTGGTTCTAAGCCCCACCAATTTTCATCCAAATCGATTTAGCCATTCTTGAGTTATAAACAGTGTAACTAACACGACTTTCTTTTATATATATAAATAGATAATTATTTACTGCAACATTATACTAAAAAAACATTGTACCTAAGAATTTCATTCCCAACGGGCTACGTAGTTTTGCAAATGTAACAATATGTTAATCAAATCTATTACATCATAAGATTATAACATATCTCAATCAATCTCCCTAAATTCAGGCAAAATCTCGATAGCTGGCAACACTTGACAAATGCGGGAGAAGCACGCTCGATTTCGACACGTCACACGACCGTCGACCATGGCGTCTCATTTCCCGCCAAAACGCATCTGACACCGACCAATGACAAAACACCGGTTAGCGAGTTCATTCAAACGAATATTTTTTTGTCACGAAACCGCTAATGTGAACTTGGTCCCTAGTGTTAGAAAATTGATTTTCTACTTTATGTTACTGGTTAAAAAGTCGAAAATGTATTAAAGCGCTTAGGGTAGCTTAATGTGCTGTATTTATTTTACCTAGAACCACAGAATTTCTTTTCTGTGTAGGTAAGTAAGTGGAGTAGGTAGGTAGGTATTTCATATTATTTTACTTGTAGGTATAAACTATAAAGGTTTGTTTGTTCCAACGCGTTAATCTCCGAATTTTTTTTTGTGTTAAGGATGGTTCATTTAACGGAGAAGGCTATAAAACATCACGCTACAAATAATAGCAGCCGAGCAGAGCGGGTAAAACCGCGCGGATGTAATAGTACCTACCTACCTGATAAATTAATAACATAACATCACGCCTTTCATCCCCTAAGGAATAGGCAGAGGTGCGCATTACAGCACTTAATGCCACTGTACAATGTAACACCTACTTTTCACTATTTATGTTATGAGTGTCATTTAATAGGGGGTGAGCCTATTGCCATTTACCGGGCACAATTCCAGACTCCGTGCTACTGCTGAGAGTTTTCAGACCTGGAAATCGAACCCGAAACTCCTTGCCCGACAGTCGCACTTGCGACCACTCGGCCAATGAGGTAAGTAGTGATAAATTGATATTAGACAGTTAACTTACGGTACCTACGTAGTTAGAGTTAAGTTTAGGTAAGTTAGTTATGTACTTAGGTAAGTAAGTACGTAGTTATTCAACACCTAATTAAACGATTTGCTTCGTTTTAACTTGCACCTAATGCCTCATTGACTGGGTGGTCGAAGGGGCTTCTGCCCGCCGAAGGGTCTCGCCTTTGATTGCCAGGCAAAATGGTTTACAGGAAATTTCCTAATCTCCAAACTAGGTAGGTAACTCCAATTCATAGGAACTATATATAGAATCATCCCATAACGACAAGGAAATGGAAGAAAACCAAACATATACTTCAGCACTTAGGGTCTACCTAATACTTAAACCTATTATTTAGGATTAGGATTGTTTAGGGGGGACCATCAAATGAATTCTCCCGCCTAGGTGAAGCGGGAGGGAGTGTCAGACTGTTATTGACTAAAAACCACCCCGTTCCTATTCCTGCACTTCGAGCTCTGAGGAACCCTGGCAACCCGTTAAGCCTTACAGTTAGGATTAGGATACAGTCCAGGGTCCATACTCTTGAAACCCATCTCAATGTCAATACAATTTCAATCCAATAGTCTCAATAATTATTCAATGTCAAAACTATACAACCCCTATCGTAGCTGTTAAAATAGCATTCAGAGTACGGAATATAAAGCCAAACTCAATTCTTTATTATATCTGTGCTCAATACCATTTAGTTAATTAAATATCCACGCAATACGGATACAATGGGCGCTAGTGTTGCAACTCAAGAGTACGAAATTTCAGAATACCAATGTCGATCGATTGGAATTGGATTCAAGAGTAAGCCCCTGGTTGTTAAGTGTATGTAGGTACTGTCGAAGATCTTAAGAATTAAAATAATAAACTAAGCAACTACTGCAAAAGAGAATATGCGATTAACTAAACAATTAGCGCTCCATGGGATAGCGCTCAAAATAGACATCGTCCTAATTTCGGTCCACAATAACGTACCTAACTGTAACATATGTGATAATATTGGGCATTATCTACATACATAATAATAAAAAAATAATTGGTTGGTGACTTGTGTACCTAGGTACTTCTGAATTCTAAATCTCGTAACCCGGGTCGGACATCTTTGAAATTCGCGAAGATAGTTAATAATTATTCTCCTGTGTCATGGGTGCGTTAACAAACATACCAGTTCACAAACACTGATACACATGACATCCAGACCCGGAACAACAATTTGTGACTCAGTACCTAATTCAGTATTTCACTTGCCTCACCTGGCATCGAATTCGAAACCTATTAGTAGAAAGAGTGACAAAGCTTCTTTTGGGCTTCTTTATTATAATTCAAATTAATTGTATGTTTATTTATTAACCCATAGGTACAGTAGACCAAACAAATATTGACTAAGCTCCATTCAATAACTTCTACAAACTATTTACTACACTACAACGGATGACAAAGTGACCTTGACCGCGATCCACCCATCATCCAAGGTCGACACGTGGATTTAAACGACCCTATCTCATCTCATTACAATTTACAATTAACGCGTAGTTTCATTGACAATTGACTCACATCGTAAACTGTGGCGCTATCATCGCTTTATGTTGTGGTATCAAATAATTTAACAGAATATTATAACAACAATTATGTTGTAATAAATATTTCTGTTATTTTTAATATTTCTGTGGTTGTGACTGACTCTGTATTGGTGTGGTGGTCGTAATCGCAACTGCAGAAAAAGATGACGGACTATCTATCTCCATGACGCGGAATGATGAGTAATTCGTAATTCGAATGAGTAATTAATTTTTAATTTTAGTTTTTTACTAAAAAAATACGCATGTGTGAACGCTGCGTGTGGCGAGACGTGTATATAATGTACCTACTCCTCTACTACATACCTACATTACATAGATAATTCTGGCTAAGGCAATCGGCTGCCGCGCAACATGTAGCGGGTTCGATTCCCACACGGAACTACTCTTTGAATGATTCACAGATTGTTGTCTAGGTAGCATATGTATGTGAACTTGTATCTTTGCCACGACACAGGAGAAAATCCTAGTGCAACGTTTTATTTAAAAAAAAAACATAATGATTAATTTCGTTAGCTGTGGCGCTGTCATCGCTTTGTGATTTCTAGCTGTGAATGATAATTATAATATCGGTTTTAGTCTGGTTCTGGCAATTATAAACGCGATTACGGAAAAAGATGACGGACTTCTATCTCCATGGCGCGAAATGATAATATGGAATTCTTAATTCGAATGAACAATTATTTTTTATTTTAAATTGTACTTAAAAAAAAAATGGAGGAAGGTTTTTTCACATTCTGAGTGCTGCGCGCGGCGGCACGTGACGAAACGTACCTATGAGGTACCTACGTTAGATAGGTAGTTCTACAGACTACCATAGGTTACCCTGCCCCTTATGATTTGTTTACAAACATTTCACACCGGTCTTGGTCAAGTCAACATGGTGTAGTTTACATTAAATACAAAGAAAGCAATCCATTAGGAATCATGTAAGGACTTAACATTAAGAATTCTAAATGAACAGTATCAATGGAATCAAACACGTTGCCGCGTAATAATAGTAATTATGGATTTAGGTATGTACCTATGTCAGTTCACTACTTAAACAAGCATTTAAATATCAATTAAGAAATCAAAATTTAAAACACCTATGCCAAACACAGAGAATACCCAAAACATTTTATATAAGAAATATGAAATGAATATGGCCATTTGTTTCGCGAAAAAAAAAATTATTAGGTACCTATTTAAAAAATCTCCAGTTAGGTGTGTTAATGATTTTACAGACCCCATTAATAAATAGCATGCCTGATCAATAAAATAGGTAAAATAGCGCCTTCACATTCCCTGCTACGCAACTTTTTGCTCGACATATTCTATCAGGCACTATATAAAATAAGTTCAATTTTGTAAATCACTTACAGATAATTCATGTTCACGACAAAGGTAAAGTTCGATTCCCCTCGACATTAGCAGTACAGTCGACAATATTGTATTGGGGCCTCGGTTGCAAGCAACAGGATTGAAAAAAAAGCTCAATTCATAGAAGAAGAAATCAACATATTTTTTTTAATATTACATACTTAATTTTAACAGAATAAGAATAATTACCTAATTGAGAGGACTTTCTTTTAGATTTAAAACGCTTCATTATACACCAAATATAATCTATTTATGTTTAGCAGTTCAAAAATAATGTTGTGTTTCATTTATATGTATAAATACACATGGCATCACGCCTTGAGGTAGGTACAGGTCAACATTACGGCACTTAATGCCACTGTACAATATAAAACCCACTTTTCACTATTTATGTTATGAGTACCATGTAATAGGGGGTGGGCCTATTGTCATATACCGGACACAATTCCAGACTACATACTACTTAATTCTCAATTAAAAAAAACCCAGTAATACTTAGCCCGACCCGGAAATCGAACCCGAAACCCATTGCCCGGTAGTCACACTTGCCACCACTCTATTCAGCCAATGAGGCAGTAAATACAGTTTCTAAATAAATGTATTAATTAAAAAATAAATAAGACTCACCTGAGGAACTTGCGTTGACTTCCCGCATCCAGTTTCACCAATCAACACCAAAGTTTGATACTTTTCCAACAAATACAATATATGGTTGCGGTACTGAAACACCGGTAGCTTCTGTCGTTGTGTGTCTAACGGTAAGTGGTGGTAACGATTGTAGACGAATGAAGTTGTTGAGTCACTATCTACAGATAATGCGGAGTCTACATTTGGATTAACTAATGTTTCTATAGCACCATCCTTGTTTCTTGTAGGGTACAGAGATTCTTCACCTGTAATAAAGAATTGAATTATGGTTAGTCTTCATAAAGAAATAAGAAAGAAAGAATGAAAGAAACCCTGTTTATTAGATATACCATGAGTCTATGACACATACATGGACAACACAGGTACACAACAAAATGGATGTAGATAAGCAAAAAGGATCCAACCTACAACAGGTCATGTGGGTTGGATCCTTTTTGCTTATCTACGTCCAAATGAAGTCTACAACGTCGTAGTGCAAAGGGCTGGTGCACTTGGCTTGTGCAAAGGCTTATTGTACAAGCAAAAGTTATCATGTTAGAAAAGAAAATGTGGACTTCGTTTTAGTAAGACAACTGCTGAACAATGGGACTTATTATTTAACAAAAGAAAAGTAATTCATTACACTGGATTTATAGTTTTTGGAATACTCAATTACCCAGCAATAAGTCAGACCAGGGTGATCCTAACGCCTATTGTTATTATATTGTATTTTATAAGTTTTCATAGTTCACTCTGTTTAGAATGAAGGGCGGGAAAGGTATACCTATGCTTAATGTTTATTTTTTTTTATTGGAAATAGGTCAGTGGTAATTATAATTATGTGCGGTTGATTTTGAAGAGTTCGAGAGTTGATAGGTGGTTATGTATGCGTCTGCTTGGTATGTGGTCTACTATTTAGTCAAGTTAGGTTATTTTTTATTTACTTTATTTTAGTATGACATTTAACATTACCCAGGTAACTGTGAGATATATTTATTTAATACTAGCTGTCACTCGCAGCTACACCTAGCTGAGTGTGTAATAAGCATACTAAAGAACTTCTACTCACAAATTACTTAAAAAAGAATTCACCAATTTATTAAACTGTAAAATCTTAAAAACACTATTTCTGATTGCCACAGGGTTAGGAATGATAACCCGGTTGCGAAAAACTAAGAATCTGAGAATAAACCCTAAATTAACGTCCAGAGATCTTAATATTAAACTTTTTATACACTGTTCATACTAAAAACATAAACATAGGCGGTATTCTATAGTAACCTATATAAATAAGGCAGTACCTGGCTTTATAAACCGCGGCCGTTGTCCCAACATAATTAAAAAAGTAACCACACTTTCCACTTAAGTTTTTAGCTAATTAACACGTATTTACACAGTTATTTTATTTATTTACATTACAAAAGTTCACAAGGCCGTCACCGAAGTTGATTTATTGATTTTACGGTTCCAGATACGTTTATAAGACTGACGTTAAAATTCTGTTGGCATTGGCATTAATTTTGTCTTTTTCTAACTTATCTAAAATTCACGTTGAAAGAAAATCAGAATGCTTAAAATCTGTTTCGTTTAGCAAGATAACTGACAGTAACTGGAACGCTTGTATAATGTTCAGAAATGCTACATTTGGTTAAACTGTTTAGTTTGGTTTGGTTTGGTTAAACTATTTATTAGCCATCTGAGAAAAAATGGTCAGTTTTGTACGAAAATTATAAATATTTTATTTATTTTATAACCTAAATCCTTTTTAGCTTATATAATGTCTAGATTTTTTTTAAGGGCGGTACATCAACATCGAATGACTGCTCCCGCCTAGGTGTGGCGGGAGGGTGAGAGTGTCAGACTCTTATTGACTAAAAACAACCCCGTTCCTTCTCCTGCACGTCGAGCCGGAGCCCCAGTAGCCCGTTAGGTTCTCCGCGACTCCAAATAAGCATCGGCCCTATTAGGCCCCATCTGTGGTGATCTGATGCCGAGATTGGCCGAGTGGCCGCAAGTGCGACTGCCGGGCAAGGGGTCTCGGGTTCGCTTCCCGGGTCGGGCAAAGTATTACTGGGTTTGTAAAAACCTCAGCAGTAGCACGGAGTCTGGAAATGTGCCCGGTATATGGCAATAGGCTCACCCCCTATTACATGGGACTCATAACATAAATAGTGAAAAGTGGGTGTAACATTGTACAGTGGCATTAAGTGCCGTAATGCGCACCTCTGCCGACCCCTTCGGGGATAAAAGGCGTGATGTTATGTTATGTTATTTTTTTGGGCCGCTTTTCGTGAACTGACACTCCATCTAGACATTATAGTATAATCAAAGCCTAAATCCTAACGATTTAATTAATGGATCTCCTCGGCGTTATAGATTTCAAATGTTGCAAAAGGGTACGCTTATGTTCGTAAACCGTGTTTTTTTTTTTAATTGCCCGAAAAAATAGTTAATTATGTGAATGAAATCGCCTATCACTCCACAATCAGGTATTACTGACGTGGAGATTTCTAGCATCAGGCAGCAATAATTAGCATCAGGTAGTGAATTTATTTTTAATGTTCATGATGGTTTTTGTTTCATTATTAATTATTCGATTATTATAATACATACCTAATTGTAATACATACAATATTTGTAATACATACCTAATGATCCGATTATCTTTTAGGGAACAGAGAGTAGGTATAGTTCCCTAAGATCGGAAAAGGAGGATCCTCCGACCAGGCGAGGTGATCGTGCCTGGCGGGCTTTCTGCCCAACAGTTGTTCGTTGGGATTTTCTATCCGTGTTCGCATGTGCGATGTAGGATTTTATGACGTCATCCGTTGACTCGTGACATGTGTCGCCACAATCTTCAGAGCCGCATTATCCCTAAAGCAAAATAGGCACATGTCTAGGGCGCCAGGTTACAGAGCGGCATGTGCCGAATTACACAAAGTGGCGGCGGCGCCAAAATAATTAGGGGCGCCCATGAGGTGCTCGCCCCGGGCGCTCTCTCGGTTTAATCCGCTTATGATTATATCTTTATGTATGTACCTATGCTTGATCATTTTAATGGTTTTTTAGTAGATAGAGTCATTCAGGAAGGTTTGATTATGATTGTTTATTTGACGCGGGCGAAAACCTTATCATATGTGAAAACTATGAAAATAAATGGGTCAAGAATTATTAATGCCTCAAGTACTGTACTAAAGATTCCAGATGTAGCTTTTGTCGTAACTGAATTAAAACCATTGTGTGTCCGTGGTCGTGGTGTACAAAATGTCAAACCTGATCAAAACTTATCAGCTACATTGTACATACAACGTTCACACAGCGGCTGATGTGATACTTATTATCGTGTTGCAATAAAATTGCCAATTACAGAAGCTCGTGTTAATCAAGGTACAAACAGACTAAGATATTAAACACTCAGTGTATAAATCAAATGTCTATGTAAGAACACAAGTGTCTGTAATTGGAAAATTTATGGTGACATGATAATTAGTGTCGCATCAACCGCCGACTTATGATCCGTATAAGTGTGAACCACGTGTGAATTGTACAGACATTAATTAATGTCTGACATGTATGTCAGAATTAGTGTCGCAACATAACTTTAAAAAAAGTTGCGCCACCCTAAGATTTTTTTGAGTCGCGGAGAATCTAACGGGTTACTGGGGCTCTGGCTTGAAGTGCAGGAGAAGAAACGGGGTGGTTTTTAGTTAGTAAGATTCTGACACTCCCTTCCGCCTCACCCAAGCGGGAGAAGTCATTCGATGATATTCCCCCCTTAAAAAGAAAGCCTAAGATTTTCTCCTGTGTTGTAACAAACGCATGATTTCATCGAATGAATCGAAACCACGATACGTTGTGCAGGAACTGGTCGCAAAGAGATCCCAGTTTATGTGTTTAAGGAGTATCTAAACGAATTTGAAACTAGTTTAACCTTATCTATTTTTCTGCCTTTGGATCTTGTAATGATACATGGTATAGACTTTTTGTTAAAGGGGGAAGATCATCGAATAACTGCACCCGCCTGGGTGAGGCGGGAGGGAGTGTCAGACTCTTACTGACTAAAATCACGCCGTTCCTACTCCTGCACTTCGAGCCGCGGCCCCGGTAACCCGTTAGATTCTCTGCGAACATGGTAAAACCTTTATTTCAAAGGGAGAAGATCATCGAATGACTGCTCCCGCCTGGGTGAGGCGGGAGGGAGTGTCAGATTCTTACTGCCTAAAAAGCACGCCGTTCCTACTCCTGCACTTCGAGCCGGAGCCCCGGTAACCCGTTAGGTTCTCCACCAACATGGTATAGACATGGGATGATGTCTAATGTCCAAGTAGTTACTAAGAGACTGGTTAGTTATTAAGTTGATGCTGTTGGTAAACTGTTTATGCTGGTCTCATAGTCTCACGCTCCTGTGTTGCGTGGGTGCATTTACGAAGACACTTTTCCCATTAGGCTTTATAACATAATGGGGATGATGACAAGGTATGAAAATTAAAAATATAATTAGTCCGTAAGTTAGGTAATGAAAAAATATTAGACACGTATTTTTTTATTTTGTCGTATAATAAAACAATACTTAGATAAAACGAATCAAAGTTTAGGAGTGGGGGCTAAAACGTCATTTCTTAGTATAAAATGTACTGAGAAGTGACGTCACGCGACATTTCAAATCAATATATCTTCGAAACTATTCGTTTCTGTGAGAAAATAAAAAAATACGTGTCTAATGTTTTTAAATAATCTATCAGACGGACATTAAAATAAAAATTAGTCGTCTACCCTATTATGTATCTACGTAACGTAATTATGTATTTCAAGCTATAATATTTATAAACTCCTGTAGGATAAATTTGCGTGATTATAATAATTCAAAAGTTTTACTTACCCAATTTGTTATAATCTCTCAAGGACGATATTGCTCATATTTATTTTTTATGTAGGTACCTAAGTAGGCACTACACTAGGCAGTAAATATTTCTGGCTAAAGACGAGGGATGAAATAAAGCAAACCAAGGAGTTACGTAATATTATATTGTTTATTTATACAAACAAAAATAAAACTACACGTTTTGTCCTAAGGTATATTTTAATAAAAAACAAAAGATGACTGTTTTCTACTTGATGGGCAGAACTAGGGTTTGCGGAACAGATTGCGGTGTGGTGTGCTGGTTCGTTCGTTCGATGTACGTCTGATGCACTGTGTGAGTTTCATGAGTTACCCCTGGATTGGAGGTGGAGATCACCTGCTGATATTGAACAGGTGGAAACTCCACGAATTTATCTATCGTGTTACCTAATATCGTTAGCTTACTAGGGCCATTCGTCTGTATTAAGTTAGGGAAGAACTTGGCTTCGTTCATCTCGTTCAACTGCAACAGCTCCTCAGGTGAGATATCTGCGTTCAATGTGTGGACATATGTGATCTGCTCATTCAAACTCATGTTCTGCTCATCAAGAATCTTCGCTTGAATTAAATCTCCATCATATAACGTTAATTTCAATATTTCTTCTTTGGGGAAGCCCTGTAGATTCGGTGACACCTCTGTTACATTGGACACAACTATCAGTTCTTGTAACAGTTTCATGGGATCAGCGTTCAGGTTAGGGTTCTCCACTAGTAAGGTCTTCATGTTCGATATGAAGTTCAATATTGGCAGTCTATACTTCACATAATATACGGGTTGATAAATCAGGGGCTTCGCGTGTTTCAACATGTATGTCAACTCGAGGACACCTAACTCCCGCTCGCCCAGTTGTAAAATCTTCAATATTTTATTGACCAGTTCATTATTAGATGTTTGATCTGGGTTCAATAGCCCGTGACTCTCCAACCACTTAAAGATTTGCACTAAGTCGTCTTCAGGGTTTGGATTTAATGGATTTAATGGAGATATTGGAGTTATTACGTTTGTTTCTTCTATCGTTTGATATCCATCGTCGGGCGTGCGATACTCATTGGTGAAGTCGACGGACGGTGGTATGTGAGTTTCACTGTTTTCAGTCATTACATCCATAGGTTCTTGTGGTTGAGACTGTAGCAATTGAAGACCTGTTCCCGGAAGACCACCTTGATTCAAAAGTGCCAAAATATCAGCCACAGGTTGTGGATAATTCTGTTGGTGCTGTGTTACATGGTGGATCAATGTCTGAATTTTATTGTTGTCTAATTGTTGTCCATTTATTTCATCATTCAGAAGTTTTACAAGAACATCTAATAATTCTATAGTGATTAAGTTATAATGTTTTAGTATAATCAATATTTCCACATATTTTGAATTCAAAATATAGGGACCATTCTCTATAAGCAACGACAATAGGAGCAGTCCATGTTTAGGGGATCTTAGCAGCTCATTGAATATTATGTGGATAAAATCAAGTCGTCTGGAGTCAACAATTCCATTTTGCGGCGACAACAACATTAAAATTATTTCTATAGACTCCGGAATCAGGCGATGTCCATTAATCAAAAGGAAATATATAATATCAATAGCTCGTTGGTCTATACTACTATTTGGGTATGCTGGCCTCAAAATGTTTAATATTGAATTAAATTGTTTGGGACTTATTCCCATTCCATTCCATTTCGATAATTCTTTGGCGACTATAACCGCTGGCTCTTTATTGTAATTTTCAAGATCTGGTAAGTAGGGAGTCAATAATGTCGTAATAATATTAGTCTGTTCTGGGGTTAGTACTTGAGTTTGTATTTGCCGTATAACATTGAAGGCTATTTCTGCGTATTCGCCTGTTGTAGGTAATCCTGTCATAAATGGATTCAAAATAGATGATATGTAATTACACTCAGAAAGAGATGGTTGTTTATTGACCAAATACAATAAAACGTCAACCAATCTTGCATCGTATTGGCCTATATTATTTGGTTGTAAGTAGGTCAGCAGTGTCTCTGTGCAAGCATCTTTCAACTGCGGTTTTTGTTGTACACTAAGAAGAGATAGGAGCAAATCCTTTATTCGCGGGACGTTACTTTGCTTATGAGTTTTCAGGATAGTGGTTATGTGTTTCAGTAACTGTGGATGGAAAATATTTGGATTGAGTTCCACGAGCTTTGTGATGTGGTCATACACTTTACCATTGTTCGGCTTGTCGCTGGTTTGTAAAAGTTTTGTAATGAGATTTATTACCCCCTCGGGTTGAATGGGTTTGATGGGTACGTGTTTTATCGGCATAGTAGTATGTTTCATTATTGTATCTTTCTGAATTGGTGGTAGCGGTGGGAGAGTGACCATCTGGGGCCGAGGGTATGTATGATCATTTAATTGTAGTGTTTGCGTTATTGGAAGCCGGCTAGGAACCGGTGAGATTGTCAAATGTTCAAGAACTTGATATGTTGGTGGTAGTGGTGGGAGAGTAACCATTTGGGGCTGAGGATATGTATATTCATTTATTTGTAGTGTCTGCGTTTTTGGAAGCCGGCTAGGAACCGGTGAGATTGTATGTTCAAGAACTTGATATACTGGTGATGCCGCTGGGAAAGTGATAGTCTGGGGTCGAGGGTACGTATATTCATTAATTTGTAGTGTTTGCGTGTTCTGAAGTTGGTCAAAAACCGGTGAGATTGTATGTTCAATAATTTCATTAACTGGTGGTGGCGCTGGGAAATTGATCGACTGGGGCTGAGGGTATGTATATTCATTTATTTGTAGTGTTTGCGGGTTCGGATGCCGGTCAAGAACCGGTGAGATTGTATGTTCAATAATTTGATTTACTGGTGGTGGCGCTGGGAAACTGATCGACTGGGGTTGAGGGTATGTATATTCATTTATTTGTAGTGTTTCCGAGTTCGGATGCCGGTCAGGAACCGGTGAGATTGTATGTTCAATAATTTGATTAACTGGTGGTGGCGCTGGGAAAGTCATCGACTGCGGCTGAGGGTATGTATATTCATTTATTTGTAGCGTTTGCGGGTTCGGATGCCGGTCAGGAACCGGTGAGATTGTATGTTCAATAATTTGATTAACTGGTTGTGGCGCTGGGAAAGTCATCGACTGCGGCTGAGGGTATGTATATTCATTTATTTGTAGTGTTTCCGGGTTCGGATGCCGGTCAGGAACCGGTGAGATTGTATGTTCAATAATTTGATTTACTGGTGGTGGCGCTGGGAAATTGATCGACTGGGGCTGAGGGTATGTATATTCATTTATTTGTAGCGTTGGCGTGTTCGGAAGCCGTTCAGGAACTGGTGAGATTGTATGTTCAATAACTTGAGTCACTGGCGGTGTATAAGGTGTGTAAACATTATGTGTGGGTACTTCAAACCCTCCATAACGATCACTTTCGGATGGAAAAGTGCTAGTGACGGGCCTTTGTTTCTGTATTTCTTCTAAAATGTTAAATATCAAAGATTTTATGTCGGGTTGGCCATTTTCGAGGTATCCTCGTGGTCGGTCTTCTTTGTATGTACTTGCAAACTTGTACAAATAATCTCGACATTGTGGTTGATGTTCTATTTCTAGATACGCCTTATATGCTATCTCAATCAGCTTTTCTAAAGCTTCTATACAATTTGGCCGCTGTTCGCCAGGCAGATCATATTGCAATAGTAAATTAGTTCTTGTATGAGATCGAGGCTTGTTTATCATTTGGTATATTGTTTGGGATTCTGTTGGTTCTGCAGACTGTCTTACAATTGATTCTTTTTTAGATTCGATAACTGACATTTTATTTATTTCTTGATCAATTTGATCTACAATGTTATTTAGCTCTAAGGGTATTTGAGTTACGTACGTTAGAGCTGCCTTAACAATATTTTGGATCATAGTTGGTGTGACGCATATGGTCTTCTCTGCGATCTGCAGCTCGTCTGCAGCATACTGTTGAGGATGTGGTACCTAGAGACGTACAGACATATTTGTTTCATTAGCAAGGATGCCATTCTGTCGACCATACGTCGATATAGTATTAGGCTTAGGATAAATATTTTCGAAATTCTCTGAGTCAGATTTTCGACGAGGCTTATGCACTTATGATAGTGATAATTTCTGTATATTTTTTCATATAATTAGGTAAACCATTCATGTTATTACAGAAATTATTGTTAATTGGTAAGTCAGGTTGAAAAATCTGATAATCAGCCGAACCAAGGCTTTGGTATTGCTATTAATGGGTTTATTAAGAAAGATATTCATCTGAACAAGTAAATCGGGGTGAGATTTGGTACCCAGTAGTTGAAAAAATACACTAGCTACTCCCGCGGTTTCACCCGCTCTGCTCAGCTCATATTGATGGTAACGTGTTGTTTTGTAGCTACTATCCAACACAAAAAGAATTATAAAATTCGAATCGGCAGTTCCGGAGATTAGCGCAAACAAACAAACAAACACTTCACTTCTTCAGTTTTCTATAAATAATAATTATAAGATAAGATACGAAGGAAAGAAAGAAAGAAAGCAGAAAGGAAAGAATGAAAGACCTTGAAAGAATTTGTATTGCTAGGATGTTAAGATTTATCAAGTGCGAGTGTCGTGCTTCGGCGCGAATGGGCCGGCTCCATCTACTCCACGGCCTCATAGAAAGCAGGCGTGGTACAACGCTTACGTTATGTTCCATTGAGTAAAACGTCTATATTTATGGTATTGAATATGTTTTCGGCACGTCTTGTGTCGAATAAATATCTTTTCTTTCTTTCTTTCTTGATGTTCTGAGTGGCACTGATCGATTACCATCAGTGGCCTTAGTCTGCTACTAGATAAAGTAGCTACAAAATTGTACAACATTGATTTCATAATTGCAGACATCATAAAACCTAAAAAAAAACCTTGTCAAAATTTCCTATTATAAAATCAATATTGTACAATTTTGTAACAGAGCCGTATTATCCCTGAGTCAAATTAGGCAAGTGCTTAGGGCGCCAGATCATAGATGGGCGCCGCAGCGCTGCAAGACGTGTGTGCCCATAGAAAGACGGCGGCGTCAAAAAAATTAGGGTCACTTATGAGGTGCTTGGTTAGGGCGCTCACTAGTTTAAATTCGTCTCTGAGTAGTAGACTAACTGCCGATTTCAATAACCACACCAATTAATGCAAAATCTATGGATCGATCTTTATTTATGACAGAAAATCCATATTGAAATTGGCAGTAAGGCCCCTGGTGGTTCTACGGTCCTATTCTGTGCCATAAAATATAAAAATGTTGTACCTGAACTTTACCATCCGAAACCAGCAGGATGGCATAATTCTTTAGTTTAGAAGTTGGTGGGGTTGGATACCAGGGGATTTTGCTCATTATAATATTGTGTGACGGTTGAAAATAATGCTGCCGGAATAAAAATACTAGTATTATTGTTTACAAGTTACAGCACATTTTGTTTTTGTTCATTCTTCTGGGAAAAGTTCGGTATTTTCCCGTTCCCGTGGAATTTTTAAATCTCTATTCTATGCCGTTCTCTACTCTACTGCTACGACTACTAATTCTAGTAAGTACTACTTCTATATTCGCTCTTAATGTTAATGTAAATGCTCTGATTCTCCACTTATATTTTTTTTCTTAAAGAAGTTAACTCCGTTTTTAAGGTCATGTTTGTTTATTTATGTAATTATAGGTAGGTACTTATAAATATTGAACGTTATTTCCGCCATTAAAATGTCACAGCAGTTTGGTGGGTTTACTATATTCTTTTTGTATATTCAAAACAAGTGAAGGTTTATTATTATTGTCTAATATCTACGCTGTAGCACCTAGGCTAGGCTAGGATGCTAGCTAAGGAGGACGTGGAGCGCGTGAGGGAACGAATCTCTTTACGCCCCAGCCGTCGCGATGGACACTATGGGCGTCGGGGATCGCGAGAGAGATCTCCGGCCACCGTCCGTAAGCACGGGCCCGCGGACGACGAGCACGGGTGATTCGCCGCCCGATCAGAACCAGACGCGAGCGTACGGCGCGTCGCGTTCCGCGCGCGCCTCAAAGAGCCATCAGACTACCACAGATGGGGCCCAATAGGGCTGATGCTGATACGGAGCCACGGAGGGATTAACGGGTTGCCGGGGCTCCGTCCCGAAGTGCAGAAGTAGGCACGGAGTGGTTTTTAGTCAGTAAGAGTCTGACACTCCCTCTCGCCTCACCCGGACGGGAGAAGTCATTGTATGATTTTCCTCACTCAAAAAAATAAGGCTGTAGCCCAGTTAGACAATAATAATAATCCGTTTGTGGTATTTGCCCGCTGCTAATAACTATAATTTTATCGAGAACCACTATCCTCGGCTAACATCGATACGGTAAGATTTAACATTAACGACAACTGCACATCACTAATTTCTTAAACCGTGACTTAAATTTATGTTAATAATAAAGTACCTAATTAATTTTCTACATATTTCATCATTATCGAAGCTCAGCGTTACAAAAATCCATGGAAACTTACACAGCTAAATTAAATATTAGATTGTGACTATAAGGAAATCAAAGAAAACCATTAAAATATGTGTCGAGCCATTGTACAATATTCACGGTACATTTGATACGGTTGCTTGTTGATTGTATGCATATTTTGACATAGAAAGGGCACGAGTTGTTGTGGTATTGAATTAAATAATTTCAAGGATGGATGTGGCGTTTTTATGAGGCTAATCAGGTATACGGTAACAAAGCAAATGTAAACGAAAATGCAACGTATAGGATAAAGCTTAAAGACGAAACTGATTTAATCAATATTCAACTACCTTACAAAAAAGAAGGAGGTCTCAGTTTGACCTGTGAGTATGTTTGTCCGCGATTATCTCGCGATCATCTAAACCGATTTTGATGCGGTTTTCAGAACAGTGTTTGTAACAAACACTTAGGAAACGGTTTCCATTCATTAATTAATCGACTTCCAAAAGAAGTTGTTTTTTTTTAAACGTAGTATATAAATGAATTATTTAATTAATAATCATCATGCCGATTTTATTAAAGATAGTAAGACGCATCTCATGCACCTAACAACAAGACAAGTAAGTACCTACAATGCGACGTTTTCCGAGTTATATGTACTTTCTAAGATTATCTAGACACCACTGACAAACGGTGAAGGAAAACATCGCGAGGAAACTTGGGCTTATAATTACTTTAACTTCTAATTATAAGTCTTAAATTGCCAACCCGCATTGAGCAAGCATATAAGCGTGAATATACTGAGAAAAGCTCTACTAGTTTCGAACCACAGAGGGGTTCTTCCTCATGAGCCGCGTGCGCGGTCGCGGCAACGTCGCGCAGCTCTCCAGTGAACAGCTCACAGCTACTTAATTTAGTAACTATGTCTCACGATAGTTATTATAAAAACGTAGTGATTAATGCTCAAACCTCTACTGTGCGAGGCCTTTGCGCAGCAGTCGCTCATGGATGTGTGATGTGTGAAGCTATACTAAACGGGTATCACTTGTTCTGCAATGGACACCTAAACGTTTATGATGATGACAAAATTAATAACTGCCCAGTCCCCATGCGGTCACCGGTGACCGCTCTCAACTTACTCCATTATAAACCTTATTTCCGATGTTTAGGGACTACATTTGTAACTACACCAATTGATCGACATCGTACGACATTGATCGTTGGTGTGATGGCACTAATTGATCGACGGATACCTATCGACTAACCAATCGATCGATGTTCGGCCGATGATCGTTCGGTCTTGTAGAAACTGTCGATCGACGGCGACTAATCCATTCTATAATCTATGGCATCAATCAATTGGTGTGATAAGACTTTCACACATCCATTGCAGACTAAAGGCTCAGCTTCAACAACAACAATCTATAGGACTTGCAGGCTAGGCTACAAGCTATTGTTATTAGCTCGACTTACAAGCTTGTCATTATTTTCAACGTTAAACTTCAAATCTACATTTACTTTATCTACATTGCCAGTTTGAAGGTAGTATCGTTCTGTTTCTATTGTTTCCTAAAAGCTTAGCTATTCTGTACCTTTCAATTTGAAAGATCGAAGTTACCTCGATCGCGGCCTGCCATACCATTGGTTATGAGAGTAATTTCGACCAATGACAGCCGAGAATGCGATTGAGCTCAGTTCAAACTTCGAATTGACAGTTAAGCGCGTGACAAATATTAGGTCTTTGCGTACGAAAATGCCGTTTTGCAGTACTGGCCATTTCAAAGCAAAATAATTTTTGTTTGGCTAAGAATTCCAATTTCAAACAAATTTTATTTTAAAAACATGGATGTTTTTTCTAAAAGTAGTCATTTGTTTTGATTAGTGTTACATTTTTATCGCATTTCAATCTTTTTTGTAATCATGGATACGTTAAAAGTTCGAGTAATTATGAATATGAGTATCGTCGTGGCAGCAACGCGGCACAAGCGGCATGCAACATCAATACCCGAGAGGCAGTACAAAATAGATTAGAAGATTTTGTTGTCCAGCTGATTTCTATAAGAAGGCCATCAATAAACTACCACTTCAATTAATATAAATTAAAAATACATGAGAAAAAATTGTTTGTATTTTTTCATACAAAACGCAATTTCATAGGTAATAATTTATTTAGCTGGCTTACTAAAATTTTGTTAGCTTGTCATGCTTTCAAACAATGGGCCTATTGAAAAAAAAATTTATATGCATTCGCAATACAACCGCGTCAGCTAAGTATAAACCGTCTAGGCGGTCAACCGATAACTGCTAACCGCTAGTGTGTCTGGGGGCTTACTATTTTTTTTTTCTAAATTAAATTTTATTTTTGCTCAAGTGGAGGGAGCATAGACGCAAAATATCAGACGTCATTCGACAAAGACTTACAGTTCACTATTAATATTACCTACGTAGAAGAAGAAAAGTATCACAGTCGGCGAAAAACTTCAGAACTAATCACAAACTTGTAGAAAACCTCAAAAATGAACGCCTCCACGAACACAAGGATTTCGCTCAGAAGCAGTATGGCCGAACATGTGATATACCTAATTCAATATTAAAGACAACAATTTTACTAATCAAGGAATCTAGTAATTTTCAAAGTTTCAATAGGTGGGTACCACAGAAATATTATCTTTATTATATATGCGGTGGGTACCTACTGTTCAAACAGGAGATCAACGACCTATGCAATGTAAACAAAAATCACGTGGACAAAATAGTTATTATTTAAAGGATAGATTGCAAGCACATGGCTCTCCTGTACGTAAGTGATTAGCGGTGTCTACGAAAACCTGCAATACCTGAGGCGATATGGGCGTTTCCTTGGAACGCAGTTGTGTCTCTGAGGGCTTAATATTTGTTGCGTGCAAGCACGATGCAAGCACGGCTAACTATTGCATTCGTAATGTAAGAGTATCGAGCGCGTTCGACGCTCTGATTGGCCGACTTCAGTGAACCAACCAATCCAAGAGCCGAACGCGCTCGATATTATTACGTCTACGGAAACCGAATACCTGAGGCGAAATAAGCGTTTCTTTGAGGCAGTTATGTCTCTGAGAGCTTAGTACCTACTAGTTTACGATGAAAGTTATCGAAACGAGTACGCGTTCAACGCTTTCATTGGCCGGCTCCAATGAATCAACCAATCAGGGCGAACGCGGTCACGTTCCGATTACTTTATACGTAATACCTCTAGAAACTCGTACTAAAGCCTCTGGTGACCTCACTCACGCCAGCGTTGTTTCACGCTTTGCCAAAGCGGCTTTGGACTTGAAACGTGAATACGTTTAGAGTACCATATGCGTTTTGTCTGTTTTTACAAAAATGGTTGATATAGTGCTACTTTTTGTTTTGATACTCTTTTCTATTTATCCGGGCGAACGTATTTATCTGTGGTTAATTAAATATTTTGTAGGTACTAATAATTTTTGGAGCGTGATGAGTTGTCGCTTCTACCCTATACAAAGTTTTTTGACGGCTTCGTTTATATTTATTAGGGGCGACGCAACCTTTTACGTAATAGGTATAGCCAGAAAAAGAAAAACAGTAGAATAGACTGGAAAACAGTAGGAAATACTGAAAAACAGTGGAGTAACCTAAAAATCAGTAGAATAAATTGAAAAACAGAAGAATAATCTGGAAAAATTACTTAAAACATGATTTACATTTATACTTTGCATTAGTAAAAATCAGAGCAAACACGCAAACACTATAAAGCACACTACACATACAAAAAACGTGAAAACAAAAAACGACATGGAGAGAAATGTAGATCAAACTAAACTTTTAATGGGAGATGACGCTGACCCCGCACCAAATGTTAACCCAAATGAAAGTTATGATGATATTGATGGTGCAAGTGGTGCAGATGTTCTTACCTCTGCTAATCTTAATTCAGGTGATTGACTGACTTTTGTAGAAGACACGACTTGAGTCGATGTTTGGACCAAATTATTGTGATCTTGGTCCTCACACGAACAGTCTTCTTTAGAAGAAGACAGACCTGTGCCGGACCCGGACTTTGATACCGCCGATTCTGCTGGCTTGACATCCAACTTCAAATAACAATGAATTAATGTCCGTTTTTCAAAAAACTTATCTTTATTCGTGTGTCGTGTTTTTGTTCCTAGTATAAAATTTTCGCGAATTAACTCGTCGAGTACCGGTTTTATAGACACAATTAAAGAACAATAGGCTGCGGTCACCGGTGACCGCTTGGTGTTTGACAGTTTAAGCGAGACCTATGATTACTTTTTGAAATCACTGCTTTACAATTTTAGCCTTTGATTAAAGGAGCCATTATTAAGGGTGCCATGTTAAAAGGATTTTATTCGATGCCGTGCACAAAATACCAAAATACTGCTACCGTTTTCGTCTGGCTTTCTAATGATTTTACTGCCTCCTTGCGTTTATCGAACACTACCAACGCAACATTGGCTGTTGCGTTTGCGTAGTACAAGTGATTTTGGCTTCTGGGCATGAAAACAGGCTCACCCTTTTTTAAATAGGACTCAAGATGGCAGGTGAGAAATAACAGTAAATTTTCTATCCGGCAATTAAATGCGTAACGTTATGTTTGTTTTTTTTTCTGGTGCCTACCTATCTCCGTCGTGTAATCGAGGCCTACCTGATGGATATCTACCCCGGTCACCAGTCACAGGGTTCGGTTTTAGGATCGCTCCTGTGGAACATCGGTTATCACTGGGTGCTGCGCACCAATCTTTCGAGCGGCGTCAGCGTGGTTTGCTACGCTGACGATACGCAGGTGTTAGCACACGGAAGGTCGCACCAGGCGGCGGCCAATTTAATGACGAGAGCGGTTGCGACGGTCGTTGCAAGAATCCGGCAACTGGGACTCGAGGTGGCGCTCCACAAGTCCGCTTTCATGGCCGTGACAATGTGCCACCTCCGGGAGGGTCCCTAATAACGGCGGGAGGAGTTACCATCGGCATCGAGACGACGATGAAGTACCTAGGACTTGTCCTCGATAGTCGGTAGAACTTTGTGGAGCACTTCAGACGTTTGGCTCCTAAATTGGAACGGACGGGGGCGGCGCTTATGCGCCTCCTACCTAACCTTGGGCGGCCAAACGCATCCTGTCGCAGGGATCGGTCCATGGCCCTCTATGGCACCGCTGTGTAGGCGCCGAACCTTATGTGGCGGCCAGCTCGACCGCACACATCCCAGAGAGTCGTGGGTATAGCACGATTTCCGGCGAGGCGGCAAACCTCCGCGCCAGATTAGTGCGTGGCGGGATGAGCTCCGGCGCGATCTCATGGTGGAATGGCAGCAACGACTGTCGCAACCGAGGGCTGGGCTCGCTGCCATTGCACCGGTAAGTCCCCTCTTTGAGGAGTGGCTCGAGAGACGCTACGGCATCCTCACCTTCCACCCGATGCAGGTGCTTACCGGAAACGGAGGTTTCGATAGGTTCCTGTTTCGGATTGGGCGGGAGGAAACTCCCGGGTGTCATCACTGCGAAGACCACCCAGAGGACACAGTGGAGCATACAGTGGCGGTGTGCCGTGCTTGGTCTGGGCACCGCCGTTTCCTAAGAGATGTGATCGGCGACGGCGACCTCTCGCGTCCGGCTTTGGTTCACGCCATGGTGCGGAGCGAGGGAGACTGGGATCCCGTCTCTTCCTTCTGCGAAGCAGTCATGCTAGCCAAAGAGGAGGCGGAGCGCGTGAGGGAACAAACCTCCTCATGCCCCAGCCGTCGCGGGAGACACTCCGGGCGTCGGGAATCGCGGGACGATCTCCGGCCATCGTAGGTGCGGGTCTGCGGACGGTGAGCAAGGGTAGCTCGCCGCCAGACCAGAACCAGAGAGAGCTCAAAGAGCCATCAGACTGCCATAGATGGGGCCCAGTAGGGCTGATGCCCGAGCCGCGGAAGGCCTAACGGGTTGCCGGGGCTCCGGCTCGAAGAGCAGGAGTAGGAACCGGGTGGTTTTTAGTCAGTAAGAGTCTGACACTCCCTCTCGCCAACCCAAGGCGGGAGAAGTCATTGGATGATTTTCCCCCCCCCTAAGGAAAGGACTTCCTAGTTTTGTGTTTTCGTTTGGGACATTACACAAATATCTTTGAGGGTGTAAAATTACAGTGCGCTAGTCTTCTTATGTTTCTAATCATATACGATTCTGAGTAAGCTTCCACATTATACTGAGCGCAATTATAGTAGTGCCAGGCGAAGCGCCAGATCGCAGCCTAATCGCTGCGTAAATGCTACAAGCAGATTTATCCTCCGTTGTCGAAGCTCAAACTCCTTCTGTTGAGAAGATTTGAACCATGGAAGAACTCCTGGGTGATCGGAACCAAGGACTTATTGTGCCTTATAAGTACCAACGAAAAGATCATAGTACGTGTGACAACTAGTGAGGTTTAGACCTGATACCTCAGGGTATCATCACATTGCTCTCGATTCCTATTGAGGTCTTCTGCAACATCATTCTGCTGACGAAGGCCATAGACCTTCTATTCCGCAGAGAGTAGGCTGGTTTCCGACCGAACCGCTCTGTACGGACCAGATCATACTGGAACAGGCACCAAAATACCAGAGAGTCGAGGAGCGGAGTGCCACCGAAGATAGTTTGTTTGTTGGAGAGCATTTATAGAATATTACTGTAGGGTAACCCATGCCAGGCTTATTTCGGGTGTGGTGGCTAACAAGTTGTTGTCGTCCCAGTGGTCGCTTCTGTTCCTGTTCGGACTTGGCGAAATTATGCTTAGCATCGCAGAAAAACGACACCTCAGGATAGAATGGGGATCCAACGTCTTAAGAGACTTGGACTATGCCAAAGATCTATGCCTGCTGAGTCATAGCCGAGCTGACATGCAAGCAAAGTTAAATGATCTACGAGAGAAGACCAAGATCAAGAAGATCAAGAAGACCAAGGACGCCCGATCTCAAGATCTCTCGTTTAACAACACCGTTGCTGACAGGAAAAGAGGTAGGAAAGCATGCTTTTTCAAGTTTCCTTATCTCGAGTCAGAAGTCATGTCAGAATTAACCCGAAGAATTAAGCTCAAAATCTTCGGATACAGTACCAAATCCGTACTGCTCTATGGGTGCTAGATGTGGAAGGTCACGTAAGACATCTCACGGCAAATCCAAATCGTCGTCAACTGACACTTCGTCGCATTTGCATATCCAATGTAGAGCTGTTTACAAAATGCAGCTAAAGCTCGATCGACCGTCAGATCAAACTTCGCAAGTGAGGAAGGGACAGGCCATACGCAGGAAATGTACAATCCACGCTGTTGCAAAATTTCTTAACATTCATGATGATATATGTTAAAAGTGCCACGACAAGTGGTTATCGCGCTGACAAGTTTGTATGTTTCAGTTTTCGTCTCTCGAAACCGTTCAATGAAGTCCCAAATTTTTAATCACTTCTAATGTACTAAATATACTACCCTACTAGGCTTGTTTTGTAAAGCTTTAGGTTTAATGCTATCTACATCTCGCACTAGCCAAGCAATTAATTCTTCTACTTGCTATTTAACTCTATTAATTAGCAAATATTACGAAATGATCACTTCAGGCAAAGTTTCTTTATGATTTCCATAAACTGACGCTTTAAGTTCTTCACAAAAACCGTTAAGCTTTGAACTGAAACTTGAAGCTTTGCCTTAAGACACCATATCGTATAACGGTACATTCACTATACTTAATGAGCTAATAATATAAACTTACCTGTGGATTTCCCGTTACGACACTTAAGAAAAAAAAACTAAACACTAGGCGCAAAATCATTATGGCGTGTCAGAACTTCAAATAGCGTCTGCAAAATATATCGGAATATACACAGTATATAATTGATTGACATGTCACATTATATACCGTGAAATCGAAAACAATAATTGAATGATTAAACGCAATTCTATTATGTATAATATGAACGACCTGTTTTGCATCTAGTACACAATTGAATGCTATATTAGAATATATATTTTGTATGTTTTCAATGATTTGCCAAATTAGGAAAAGTGGTGTTGTACATGTTTTGTTTTTTTAAAGGTTATTGTTAGTCTGTACTGTGATATCAATATAGATCGTGTTGTTTATGCTACTTTGAGGTTTATAAGTCGGTACGGAACCGCGTGGTTTCAATTAACGTCTCAACAATACGACATTCTGTTTCATACTGTACCAAGTATTCGGAAAACATAATCTACTCGGTTGAAAACAGAGTCGTATGGTTTTCGATTTCGTTTCGATGTTTTGTTTGATTCCTTATTCAATTAAACAGACACAATAGTGGTTGTTGATAAGGTTAAGGTCGGTTGAAACAGATGACTGGAAAGGTCAACATGTTGCAATACAAAATAGTTTTTAATGCTGAGGTCTGATGATTTAGTTTTGATGAAAAATATGAGTTTACTTATGGACTTAGCACCTGCAGAGTAGTGACAGAAATGGACCCAAGATAGTACCCTGAGGAAAACTTTCGTTAATATCAATTGAATTAACGATTGGAATGGATTTTTTCTTAATATTTTGTGTGTATCGGTTTCATACAAAACTTGTCTGTCTTTTATCGACAATTTTCATAGAAAAAGTTTAAAGACTTTGTGTATATTAGTAAGTTGACAACTTTTCACTCTGTTAAAGGCTTTACTTAATTCTTGTAAGATAAGAACTTTAAGGTTGTCTTTTACACTATAAAACTTATGAAATTGAAGCACCTAGTACCTGATGCTACAAACAACACCTGCTAATAAAATTTACAATAAAGTCCATTATTATTAATATCTATTTTATGCAGTAATTAAGTAAATATTGTTAAGAGCACATATTAAAATGGTTAACCGTGACGTTTGTGTGAATATCTGCGGTGTAATGTATGTGTATGTCGATAGTGATGTACAAACTAATTCAAATAAAATTATTACATGACCAACAATAATTTTTCATACCGAGAAATTATTCTTAAACACAACATTGTAACAAGTAACTCATAATTATATCACAATCTGACTTGATAACAATGTTTGTTTAATTTATAAAATGGAAAATATAATTATTATGTATAATGAATTTTTACATGAAGTACTATTTATTTATTGATTGTAATTGTGGATGTAATTGTTAAAAATGTGAGTGATGGTCAATATAGAACACCTGAATATACGATGATTATTTCAAAATAGGACTATATAAAAAGTGTAGATTTCATTAAGAAATCAGAAAAAATCTTTAGTTTTATTAAGTCAGTGCTGATTTCGAAAACATCAAAACATTTATCTATCGCATATAAAAAAAATAAGGAAAAATTTTAGCTATTAACAAGCTTTTTTAAAATAAGTAAAATAATTGAACTCACCATTTCACACCACCGTTGATTATGGTTTAAATAACCGTTCACTGCCATCGACAGCAGTTTAAATAGGTACTAAAAAATTACGGGTTATTTTGGGATGTATAATATAGTACACATGTAGTTGTGTAATATAATATTTATTAACCAATTGAAATATATACGAGCATTATTCATTTAAATACATATATACAAAATAAATACAATAAAATAATAGATACATACAATAAAATAATATATATTATATAAGCTCATGTCAGCACATGAAAGCAAAAATTAATTTACATAAAATAAATACAATAAATAGATACTATACATATATAACCACATAATAAATAAAAAAATAATAAATATATATAATATGCTGTTAAAAATAAGTAATAAGGACAAATTCATTATTCCAGCGATCTCCTCAACGTTGGCAATATATCATCATATATATTTTGCGGAATACTAGCTTCGTCGCATCCTTTGTTTGGTGTCGGAAATACAGCACCATTCAATTTCTGGATCAAATCAAATATGACCTCCGTCTTATACCCCTTATGTTTCAGATATAAAATTATCTGTTTCAGCATTTCAGTTTTATTGTCCTGCATTATCACGTTCTCTTGGTCTTCAATAGCATTCTTGTTAAGTAAGTATTTTTGCAGTATACCTTTCACTGCACCTGCGTCTACTTCGACGTCTACTCCTGCTATATTCAAAATTAATCTTTCATTCTTTGGGCTATTAAGAACATGTTTAGCCACAAAATTTTCTAAATCCACTGCGCAATGTTGACAATCATTGTTATTCACCACTTGTTGGTTTAAAGGAACAATGTCATGTTGCAGTATATCTTTCTTTCCAAGTATATGTTCCGCTTCTAAGTAATTCTGAACGTATTTTGGAAACTTCCAAGCCTCTAAATGCGAAATTATTCCAGGGTCACGGAAAATATTAAGATCGAAATTATTCTTATGCAGTAATAATAATAAATCATGCAGCCATCTCTGGCGAATCAAATGGTAAGCATAAAGTTGCAATGGGTGTCGACTTTGGGGAGGTACGTCATAGAATATTTTTTCATACCAGTCATTTTGTTTACCAAAATAGTCGGCTTGTATTAGCAGTATTTCTAATACTGTAAGTAAATTATTTAGTGCATTTTGTTCCTGTGAATTAAGTCCAACAGATAGCTTTTGTTTCTTCAGCCCATCTGTCAGTTTCAATAAATTTTGTAAAGTAAACAATTTGTACGTTGGAGCTAGATCAAAGTTGGGAGTTTGGTAGTAATCGAAGTGTTCAGGCTTCACGTTAGGAATGTCTGCTGGTCGTTTGACTACATTTTCGTAAAAATATTTTTGATCCTCATTTGGATGTTGCTTTGTTACTTCGAGATTCAATTTATAGTATTGAGGATTTTGGTATAGTAACTGCTTTTTCGGGAGATTAAGTAACGCGAAGTCAGTTGGAAGATTAATATTAGGATCTGGACCTGGTTTTATATCTTGAGGGCCTTTTTGCAGATCACTGTAATCCACACGAGTTTCAGGGGTTACGCCTGAATTTATGTTAAAATTGTAATTTTGAGGTGTATTTGGAACAACATTATCAGAAAGTATACTGGAGCTGCGATCTTCGGGAGTTACAGGAGTGACAATGTCATTGTTAGTACTGTAAACGGCGTCAGCTTTTGTATTTAGATTGTAATCTTGGGGAGTTTTGGGAGTAACAGCGTTGGTCTCAATATTGTAAGTATATTCATGAGTAACTTTTGGATTAACGATATCAGGATTTACATTAAGTTGGTAATCTTGAAGATTGTGTGGAATCACTCCGGAGTAAACATTATAATTGTCTTCTTTGGGAGCTTCATGAGTAGGAACTTGAGATTTTACTTTGTAAACGTATTCATGTGAAACTTTCGGATTGTTGGATTCAGAGTTCAGATTAAGGGTGTAACTTTGGGGATTTTGCGAAATAACATAAGGTTCAATAATAAGACTCTCATCTAGGGGAGTTTTAGGAGTACCCACGCTATTATCAATGCTATAGGTGACCTCATGGGTAATTTTTGGATCAACTTTGCCAGGAATTAAGTTGAGGCTATAACCATAGGGAGTTTTAGGAGTCACCACATTAGTCTCTAAGGTGTATTGATATTCATGTGTAATTTTAGGATCAGTACTGCCATAGTTTGTTGGCAATGGCTGGTGATCTTGAGGATTTTGAGAAATGACATCAGTGTAAACTTTATGAATTTCATTTTGTGCCGTTTTAGGAGCAACAATATCAGATTCAATATTGTAACTGTATTTTTGTAAAGTTTCAGGGACAACAGTATTAGGACTTGTACCAATATAATGTTCCAGTTCGTAGTTAATTGGCTTGTTTACATTCACAGTTCCTGTTGGATTACTAACCGCAGATAATTTATAAATATTGTCTATACCTGGTTCAAGCTTAGTACTGTACTTTGTAGATTTTAAATTTAAAATATTATCTAGGTCTGGTTTTTCATATGAAACTGGAGATGCTTCAACAGCTGGGGGATGAACCACATACGTGTACACATGATAAGGTTGTTTGCTTGTATTTTTAATTGTATAATCCTGTTTAGAACCAGTAGTGGGACTTTGACTTAATGTTGGCAATTGGCTAATGTGCCATGGCCCAGTACCAACAATTTCATCCCCAGAAGTCCAGGGAATGTCATTGTATATTTTCTTTTTAACAATATAATTAGTGTCTCCAAGTTTATCTTCAATGATCAATGGTAAATTGTAGCTAGTTTTCTTTTTAAGGGTCCATGGCTGATTAGTACCCCATTTACCTTGAAGAGTTGAAAGAATGTCTTCTTTTATTCTGTCTTCAATAGTTCCAGGTAAATTGTAATCAATTGTTTTGTCAGTCAATGGTAAATGTTTAATAGTCGAAAGAATATCCTTTTTGATTTTTTCTTCTATAGTCACAAGATCATCTTTAACCGTTTCAACGATTGTCTCGGGATAATCGTTGTCCGTTTTATCGTTGTTTTGCCGGGGCATATCATTTTTATCCCTTATGTTTACCTCATAAGGAACATTATTGTCAGTTTTATCTTCAATTTGCGAAGGTATTTCATTTGTAAGCTTATCAGCGATAATGTTGAGATCATCAGGTATATCATTGTTAACCCTTTCGTCAGTCTCGAGGGGAACATTATCAACTGTTGTATCTTGAATATATGAGGGTATATAATTTTCAACCTCTTCAACGGTAGTCTCGCGATCATCGTTGTCCGTTTTATCTTCAATTTGCAAGGGTAGATAATTTTTAACCTCCTCAACGATAGTCCTGCGATCATCGTTGTCCGTTATATCTTCGATTTGCAAGGGTAGCAAATTTTTATCCTCTTCAACGATAGTCTCTCGACCATCGTTGTCCGTTTTATCTTCAATTTGCAAAGGTAGATCATTTTTAACCTCTTGAACTATAGTCTCGCGACCATCG